TGTTCCAAGGCAAAGGTAGCTCCCTTGAAAAAGCAGTCTATACCTAGATTAGAATTGTGCAGCGCATTACTATTAGCGAAATTAATCGATAATGTAAAACAGGCAATTCGCATAAAAATTGATGGAATATACGCGTGGTCTGACTCCATGGTCGTACTGCACTGGTTCCGTGGAGACGCGTCGCGATGGAAACCATTCGTTTCCAATCGTGTATCTACAATTACTGAAATTTTACCTGCAACTCATTGGCGACACGTTAAGGGTTCAGAGAATCCTGCGGATTTAATATCAAGAGGAGCCTCACCTATGCAACTCAAGAACAGCGATTTGTGGTGGAATGGCCCCGAGTGGTTGTCCAAGTTCAATCAGTCAGCAGGAATCGAGGAACCCAATTACGAGCTTACAAGGAAGGATTTCTCCAACATCAGAACTGAGTCTAAGAAGGAAACGTTAGTTTGCAGCGCAAATGTGGCCAGATCACTCCCTTCGAATGAAGTAATTGGGAAGCTTCTCAGAGACTGTTCATCATTGACAAAGATTGAGCGGTCATTGGCTTACTGCCTTAGATTTATTTCTAACTGTCGAAAAAAAGAGGAAGATAGAATATTAACCCGATTAACTTTACAGGAGTTGGACTTTGCTAGGCTCGAAATAATCAAATATTCACAGCGTATTTACTTTTTAGAAGATCTACGAAATTTACGAGATAATCGCAAGCTGAGTCAGTCTAGCCAATTGTGCCAGTTACAAGCCTTTCTCGATGACAACGGCATTCTTAGGGTGGGCGGTCGACTTTAAAAGACGCCTTGGAGTTTTGACAGAAAACATCCAATTCTACTATCTGCCCAATGCAAGGTTACCCGTCTGCTAATCGAGAGAGAACATCGCACTCTGTTACACGCTAGTCAGCAATTGTTGTTGTCATCAATACGTCGACAATATTGGCCTTTACATGCAAGAAATCTGGTACGCCAAGTTTGTCGATCATGCGTTTGGTGCGCAAGGAACAATCCAAAAGGATTAACACAAGCTATGGGATCATTGCCTAGTGATAGAATCCAGCCTTCTCGAGCATTTACCGTCACCGGTGTTGATTTTGCGGGTCCAATCGTTACCCTTGTCAATAAAGGACGAGGTCGAAAAACATGCAAGTCCTACATAGCCTTATTCATCTGTTTCGCCACGAAGGCTATACATTTGGAGGCGACAAGCGAATTGTCTACGGCGGCGTTCTTGTCAACTTTACGTCGATTCATAGGCCGGCGAGGACTACCTCTTAAAATTTGCAGTGACAATGCTACAAATTTTGTAGGCGCTAAACGGGAACTGGAGGAGCTCTACACATTGGTGCACGATTCCATTAATGGGCCAGTTGGCGAGGTCCTGCAAGAGAGAGGCATCGAATGGAGCATTATTCCTCCTTATTCACCCCATCTAGGTGGCTTATGGGAGGCAGGAGTAAAATCCTGCAAATATCATCTAAAACGCGTGATGGGCAACACTTTGTTTACTTTTGAAGAATTAGCTACGGCTCTGGTGCAGATTGAAGCCTGCTTAAACTCCAGACCATTATCGCCTTTGTCATCAGATCCCTCTGATTTGCAACCTCTGACGCCGGGACATTTCTTGGTTGGAGGACCGTTAACCAGCCTCCCTGAAACCGATCTGACGGACGTGAAGATCAATCGACTTAATCGCTGGGAAATGATTCAGCGCTGTGTTCAGGAATTTTGGAAACGGTGGGCGGCGGAGTACGTGAGCAACCTTCAAGGTCGCGTTAAATGGAAAACTATACAAGAAAATCTGAAGGTTGATCTCGTGTTACTAAAGGATGATAATCTTCCGCCTTTGAAATGGAAACTTGGTCGGATAACCGAGGTTCGTGCTGGTAAAGATGGTTTGGTGCGTGTCGTAACGGTGCGTACGGCCATGGGTAAAGTCGAGCGGGCGATTGCCAAGCTTTGCAGATTGCCTGTGAATGATACTTTGTATGAAAAAGATTAGTCACCTAATCTTGGTGGGCGGTGTGTTAGCGTTCAATGTACAAACGTTGCTCTTAATCGTATATTTATATTCTTATTTTTGAACGACGCGCTCTATTATACATGCAGAACGGCGGTGCGCGCGCGTCACCGGCGCTAGAGGCGCTTTCCCTTCGTTTCCGTTTTCTGCGGCAGTTCAGTTTTTTTTCGGTAAGAGACGGTCGTCGAGCAAGAGACAAGATTGTACCTAAACCTTTCATTATTAAATGTTATAAAACTCGAACCTCGAGGTACTAATTGTATTAATTGCCATCCTAAACATAATGACTATAACTGACTTAATAAATAATACTTAAACTTTATAGAAAAGTATACTATAGCCCTAAATAATTCATGATATTTTGCCTACGCCGTTATCGGGGGTGAAAAAATAAAGAATTTCGGCGTAGGCTCGTATAGGCAAAATATCGTGAATTTTTAAATTTTATATTTTAACTTAATATTTAAACAAACTTATTATTTAAATTTATTAACATAATGTTGTTTCTATAAAGTTTAAGTATTATTTATTAAGTTAGTTAAAGTCATTAGGTTAGTCACGAAGTTAGTTTCGTGTATTGATATGTATAAAAGGAGCCATCGGATGTACCGTGCCTGAGCGCGCGAA